TCCATTGCTAGTACAATTTTCTAAAGATATTGAGACCCTTATGTAGATTTAGTAATTAAGGATGACAAATCAAGGGGCTATTGTGTGTGCTAAGTGTATGAACAAGATTTAGCATCTCAACTTAATGTTGTAATGCATTGCCGACCCCCCCAAAAGGAGAAAACTTTAGGTTTTCTAGAAGTATATTGTCTGTTGGTGATATTGTTGAGTCACAAAAGCCACACTATTTAGAGGGGGTGTTCAAGGTGAACAAGAAGTGATCATTTCTCTATCTTTAATTTCTCACTACAAAGAGGAAAAAACCAAACAAATCATAAGTTAATTTTGAGCTGAAAACAAGGGGATGTTGGACTATCTAGGGTGTGAACCCTAGAGTGATGGATATGCATAAGTGCTCCAGGGCATCTGTTGATGGTAAGGATACCTACTTGGAGGGCACCTACTCAGACGAGTGTCTAAGGACTCCCAAGTCATGCACCCGCTAGACACTCGTAGAGGATAAGGACATGTGAACTATGTCAGGGATATGTCAATTATGGGAGATATGTTTCCCATAATAGTAGATCACTTGATTGTATCATATCCCCTAAAGATAGTTACCAAACTATTTGGCTCTTTCCTTCCTATATAAGGGACATGATATCCCCTGCCAAAGGATAAAGACACACGGAAAAGCATTATGCGCGGAATCTAGTTCTTTAGATGAGTTAAACACTACTATAATCCTCTCATTGATTAATAAACATAGATAGGTAGGACATAGGTCTATTAAACCTTCAGGGCCTAAACTTGGGTAAAACCACCATGCCACCTTCATCATTGGTGAGATCCCCTAGGGCACCACCCATCCCTCTACATCCTTCCACAACTCCACATGGATCATGAGATCGGCGGTGCATTAATCATTGATATTTAGAGCATTGCTTGTACCTGTGGGGTCGGCTACCCGAGTAAAACTCAGAGTGTCCAAACCAAATCTATGTCTTTTAGTATTTGGCCCTGCTCGATTCCCTTGCCGAACTATCATGGGTGATTCCAAGAGTGCTCGGGTCGGACTATTTGGGGCCTATGGCATGTACTATCTGAATGTTGTTTTCCCCTACTAAAGTTGGTTTGACCAGGTTGCTGGCCTACTGGAACATGGTACCCCCAAACAATATGTGATTGTTGGCTCAGCTTCTTCATGGCTGAAGGCTTGAACTTCTCGTGGTTGCTGATCACTCGGACTGAATAAATGTACTAAAATCATGTAATTGTTATCTTGGATATAGATTTATAAATAATGTTGTGTCCCCTTTGCCAACCAACTCTTTGTCTAATTTCATATATGAGCACATTGAGCACTCTTGACCCTCTCCAACCCATTAGAGCCAACCCTTAGTGGGAAATAACCATTCTCCCTTGAAGTTAGAGGAATGGCCACCAACAGTGGATGCTAAACGACAACTTAAAGATGGGTGGGAGCGACTTATCTGGCTGACCTGCATATCCAACATCTCCTAGGTAGAACTTACCATCATGAATATTGATCCCATTAGACTGGTCCATGTTGTCAGCAAGAATGTTTGCATCAAGGGTTGATCTTTCCCAACCACTAACACATATGTGAACTTGGGATCAAAATCAACATCAACAAGCACATTTTGGTTGGTGTGGTGCTTTCTATCTTTGTATGTTGCAGGTTGTGACCTCGTCACTCTAGCAGTCACATGAGTACCATCAGTTGCGTCAATACAATCATATGATGCCATGAACAAACTAGTATGGTTCACAACAATACAATGATATCATAGCGCGAACTAACAATTAGTACTACCCACCTTGAAATATGGATACCTTTTGTAGCTCATTCATAACACCGAAGGAGTTTGACCAATAGGTTGTTTGACCATTTTTCCTCTGAGATCTCCAATCACATAGAGAATTTCCTTTAAATATGGGGATATTATCTCATTAGATCTCCTAAATGTATTGTGAATCACTCCGAACCTCTGGTTATGACCCACAACGTAAAGGAACTTGCTACTTGCTATTCCACAAAGGTGTGGATGCTATCTTTTAGCAACGCCTCTCCATAAATGTCTTCACAAGTAGGGCAAAAGGGGCGCTTCTCATTCGAAGCATGTTCGCATCCTCTACCTATCTCGAGGAAACATTGGAGCATATGTGACCCCACTCCTGGAATTGAAATGAACCCTCTCTTGTGGAATGTAGGAAGTACATCTAGAGGTGGGATGAATAGTCGACTAAGAAAAAAGGACTTTTTTGCCAAATTTTAGTTTCCTTGGCAATTTTGAGTTTTCCTATGGTAGTCTATCGAGCACCCTACATAGGCAGCGGAAAGTAAAGACATGCAAAGTGTAAATATGTGGTAGAGTTGGAGATATGCAAACACAGAGTGGCTTAGTGAAGATTTTTCCCATGGTTCATATAGTTGGTGCTATCTTACATCCACGATGACAGAGCCTTAGATCCACTAAGGATCTTACAAGGATCCCGGTTGCAAATTCCAATGAAAGAACAAGTCCACGAAGGACACTCACCCGAAGGGTCGACGAAGGAGCAACCAACCTATGCCACGATGGCTTACGCCCACAAAAGACTAGCCTCACTCAGGGTAGATCTTCACAAAGTAAGCGACCTCCCGGCCCATACAAACTTCTTGAATTTTTTCACAAATTCGAAGACTTCCAAGAACCTAATCGATCTGGGAAGCGCACACCCTCTAAAAGTAATAGAATTGAGGTTGCTTGGTGATGAATCCCTTGCTTTTTTGCTTCAAAAGATAATCTCCTTTTGCACTCAACTCTCATGAGATTTGGCTTTGGATTGGAGAAGTGGGAGAGAAAAGCAAATCGGATTATGACTCATAGGATTAGCTTGGATGGTTGGAGTAGAAATCCCTTTGAAATCAACACAAGAAGGTGGAGTTCTCTCTCAGAACATATGATATGAGTGAAGTTTGCTTTGAGTAAACTGATGGGATAAGTTGGGGTATATATAGGCTTGACCACAAATTTGTCTGTTACACGCTTTTGACACATCTCAGAAGTTCCATAGTGATTAGCTTGGAGGCTTCGACATGTGCAAATGTGGTAACATTCAAATCATTTGGATGGTTCAAAGGGATAACATTTGGAGGTTCCAAGGTGATTACCTTGGTAGTGGCACACTCTCTGTAACCACTTTTGAAATTCCTAGCGAGGGGCTTCGGAAATTCTGAGAGAGAAATAGAAGGTTTGCCAGATTCTTTTGGTGGTTCCGAGTGGAGTTCTTGGCAACTCCCAAGTGCTACGACTTGCAGCGACTATATCTGGATGAACTGCTTGGCGGTTTTGACGGGAAGAGCTTGGTAGTTCTGAGGTGTGAAAGTTAGGTAGATATAGTGGAGGAATTTGAAGGCTTTTGATGGCAATTGAAGTTTGGTATTTAAGCACTGAGCGAAAGAAACTCATCACAACATCCTTATCCCCTTTTGATACTATCGGCATGCATATGGACTCGATGTGATCTAGGATCACTAAAATGAAAATGGTAAATCCTTGGCGTGGCCAACACTTGTCTTCATGATAACTTGTGGGGGTCACCTTTCATTTTCTTTGTTGCAACCAAATGAAACTTTCCTGAGATAACCTAGTAAAACATTAGTTCCTTAAGATATGTTGACATTAATTACCAAATCTACCAACGGAATTAGATGCATTTTCATGGACCAATAGAAGCCAACCATGAATCACAACTATGAGTGAAGTTTCCTAAATGATAAGCTTCATCTATTCGTCCTAGTGAAACCGATGTCGTGGAAAGTAACAGCAAAACCGACCCTACACCTTACCTAACGACCTAAAAGTGGAGGGATGATACTGTGGCCGTATGATGCTTGTTGCCATGGGAGACGACGACGACGACCTATTGATGTTGGAGACAAGGCGGGCAAGACGGAGACGGGGACGAAGGGAGCGAGCAACTGACGGTGGGGAGGAGCACCTCCCAGTGTTGATGATCTAAGTCGTCGTCGCCGCCAGTGCAAAA